TTTTTTTTTTTTTTTTTTTAGTATCCTCATTTGGTGTGAATTTCTTCATATCATATATGTAGTATTTTTCAACAGCTCTGCATAAGACACAGCGCTGGAACTGGAACTCAGACATCTGCCTAGCGTGAACTAATCTGGCCCTCACCTCTAGCACACTCATTTCTCCATTCTGTGTAAGCACTGGCTGTCACAAACCCATCAACAGGATACCGCAGAAGCCTCAAGTTTCTTCCCACTGTCCTACTGCTTGTCCCAAGAAAGAGACCACATTTATCCTGGGATAACTCTTTATCCCCACAAGCTTCAGCTCCACTGCCCTTATACTGGACCTCACAGCTGCAGCAGGGAAATCTCTGCCAGCTCCACGTGGCTTCCCCTTGGACGCGAAAGAACTTTAGATCCTCCTTTCCATAGGATGGGTTAGCCTGGAATATCAATCGCCCTGAGATCACTTTTTGTCAGAGACGATCAGTAAGGACATAAATTAGCAAAAGGATTTATTATATAGGAGAAATAATTGCACAAGAGGAACTGACCGTATAGTTTGAAGACAGAACACAAATTCAGGTGAAGTTGCTTACGACCTAGCCCTCTGAGAGCCCTGCTAGTATTTACAGAGATCAGCCTTTCTGATGCTCCTGCCAGCCCTGACCTCTGGGGAACTGGTCTCTCTCAAAGCCTGGAAAAATCTAAAGACCGGGTCTATCCCATAGACAGCCTTTTCTTCCTGGTGCATCTGGAATTCCTCTAGCTAATAGCTCATTTCTTTGAGGGTTGATTTTCACGTTACAGGCTGATAATACCTTGGGTGCCCACCCTAACAGCAGCTGCTTCTGCCTGCAATTGGGAGTGGCAATTACTACCTTAACACAATGGCAAGAGATACTCCACAGTTTGGCCTGCTTCTTTCTCCTTAAGTATTCATCCCTCTATTACTTTGGCTAAACCATGTCCAAAATCATGAAGATGTATAAAAGATACTACAATTTAATCCATACAGTGATAGAAGCAACAAAAGTGAATACAGCACTACATTAGCTTTTCAAAAAGACCAGACACCATATCAGTAAAATAAACACAGGAAAACCTGCATGATACCTTACAAATACCTCAAATTATAGTGGGGCTTGTGAAGGTCTCAGCTGAGTAAGCTGGTACATTCCCTGCTCACACTTCTCCCAATACCTGCCTATTTGTAAGGTTGTAGAGACAATAGATATCCCAGCAAGCCTGCTGTTCAAAGCATCCTTAAATCTGTATCATTAAATGCATCAAAAATAACATTTCCAGAGAGAAACTGCATCCTTAAATGCATCAGAAGTAGCATTTCTAGAGAGGCTGCACAAGGGAGAAACAAAAAGAGAAAATCTACCATTATGTGGTTGCAAGGAAAAGGAGGTTTCTTATGTCAATACAATAGTACCAAATACTGTTAGCAGTGGCCCTATCAAAGCAAAAGAACCAAACTGGGTTCACCAAATCACCTAAAACAATGCGAGGGAATTTCACCCTTAATTGAGGGGATCTTGGTTGATTTACAGTCATGCTGAATTGAAATCCATAGTCTCCCCTCAGATTCCTTGCATCGCAGCTTCTGAATTCAATATACATCTGACCCTTTTGGCCTCTTTTTAAGTCCCTGCTCCAGGACCTGATACTTGAATCATCATCTCTCAGGACTGAAATCGTATGATTTTTGCCTCTCAGACACAGCTTTGGGCTGCAGCTGTCTGGCATAAATGGCAATTATCTCAATAGATCCAGTTTCAGTTCGTCATCTACGTTTCACTTCCCTCCAGAAGTGCTGACTAGTGTTAACCAGTCTACCAGACTGACTTCTCAATGCAGTGTCATATTTTACCACTTCATGTCTTGAGACTTGGCCACTGTGTGGAAATGACTGCAAGATTCATGGCATCAGAAAGGGCAGGTGCGAGGGAAAGAGGGGATCCTGGTTCTACTGCTAGCAATGGGGATCTTTCCATTGTTTTAATGGAAGTGAAATGAGGTCTGAGGTCCCACACCTTGAACAGCTCAGCGGGCAGAGCACCCATTAACTTCAGTAAAAGAATTTCAAGCAGCCAAGTAAACTGGCCACTAAGTATTTCTTCTACATGGTTGCCTTTCTACTTTGACTTTTTCT